ATTATTTTCAAAATTAAATCTATTTTTATACAATCATTCTAATTTTATCATATTTTTCATGTTTTATCGTATTATGATTTTTTATGGAGAAAAAGAATAATCAAATAAGATAGAACTTATCGAACCTGCGTTCTTCTCATTTAATCGAAGTACGGGAAAGCTTAGATCCAGTTCTTTTTCGCGAATATGTCGAGATCGGTAGATCTCTATTTCTTTGTGAAATATCTGCTAATAATGGAAAGTTGCATAACTGTGTGTTTCTGTTTTCTATCGACAAATCTGTAAATATATATATATATTTTTTTTTTTATTTTCATTACTTTTTTATATCAAAATATTCGATCAAACTAGAGAAGTGGAATTTAACATTTATCTATATGCGCTTAATACCACTGGACTAAACTGGTCTACTTTTGCGTAAAAGCTTACTTGTCAATAGCTAGATGATTTTTATGTTAAAGATTTTAATATTTAAATGATTTGTTTAAACACATTTAACATATAAAACGTAAATCTTAGAATATTGATTCGGAGTTGACTTTACTAAGGCAAAAATATTATTAAAAATCTTCTTTGATATACCTTTTCCTGTTGAATTTTTAACACATCCGAGTGTTAATTTAACATAATAATATGGTTGCGTTATTTGAACCTTATATTATGTTGTTAATTAATATTTAATTTGTCTTAGTGTTAAATAAGAAAATGTTTTTGTAATATTTGTATAATTTTTTTCCCAATATATTCGTGTTATATTAAATTAACATAAATTGTGTCGTTTAGCACTCGTGAAATATTAAATTTTACATAAATTTTCCAACTTTTATTACATCTAGTACAATAATTCATATCTATTACACACACGCGCGCGCGCGCATGTGTGTGTGTGTGTGTGTGTATACCTTACTCTCTTGCACAATATATTCAAATTTGAATAAACTATAGCAATACTTTACATGACGCATAGGAAATTAAGACATTTAGGACAAAAATTAAAGTCAATATTTGTTCTTCTCAAACCTTACCATTCTCTCCAAACAAATCACCGTCCCTTTTCCCGGGTATTCTCAGTTTCGAAATGTTTGCATTCTCTTTGAATGTATCATTATTTCCTGGAACTTTCCTCACGCGTCTTTTTTCCATAATTTTAATCTTCATAGAAAACACCGATGGCGTTTTGACACACCGTCTGCACACACGGGTTTTAAGGTCGTAAACACCGACGTCGATAACTGGAGATTGATGGCATAGCGGATGATAAGCTTCTTGACATTCCCGGCACTCGAGCAAAATCAGAGGTCCCAGTTTCGCGCCGTTACAGATCTTGGAGTTTATACAGCACAGATGTCACAATTCATTTAAGTCAACAACACGGCGACTTTCGAAGACAATTTTAGTCACACAGTCACATCGTTCTCGCGATTTTGCATTTAAGCTATAAATTGTAAAGTGGCCGTGTTTAATTGAAGAAAACCTTGCACAGAGTCCCGTCGGCGGATCCTTCGTCGGGAATCGAGATCCTGGGAATGTCTTCTTCGTCCTCGCAGCAGCCCTCGTAATCGACCTCGAATACTTTTACGTCGGACTTCCAGTGATTCCTAATGTTCTCCGCTTCGTCAGCTTCAAGAAAAGAAATGATCTCAAGATTACCGTCCCAGATCTCGGTTTTTATCGTATTATATCCTTGCGTTACGTGGTCGTGACTCTTCGAGGTATAAATCGGAGGAGCGGATTCGTCGACGTTTTGCAAAAATCGCTTCGGCATTCTCACAGCCAAAGTCTTTTCGAGGCCGTGCTTCTTTTCAATGCAGGCGTCCAGCATCCGACGAAGCTTCTCCACACTGTCTCGCTCTGTCGAATGCAACAGTGCTAATGCGTCGAAGAAATCTTCGTCGATGTCGAACGTGTTCTCGTGCATTCTATGGATTCTACGGTTGGTATCTTCAGATTCAGATTTTCGATTGTTAAATAGAACACCTTTCAGGCGTGTCCTGTCTTGGCGACACTCCTATAAATATTTCATGGAATGTAACATTTTGTCAAACAGATGATTTAAATATTCTAGACGAAATTTAAAGACGGGCAAAGTCTGCACAATGGACAATGTTGACATTGTAACAGCAGACAACTATCTAGTGAGAAATGACAATAGAATTGATGTCGAATCGATATCGATTCTCGATATTAATTCCATTGCCATTTCTCACTGGATAGTTGTATTTGCCCGTACAGATATATTCTTAATGCTGCAGTATAATTAACTTGTAAACAGAAATATAGCTCATGAAGAAAACGAACATGTAACATTTTGAATTTGAACAGAAGTAATAAGCTGATTATAGTAACATGACGCGTAGTTTTTAAATATCTTGAGAGAGAGAGAGAGAGAGAGAGAGAGAGAGAGAGAGAGAGAGAGAGATTCGGGTGAAATTTGACTTGAGCACATAATGGCTGAAGGTTAAAGAATACGTTTTTCAAATGTTTTGGAACATGACTTGACCATGAAATATTGGAAAAATAGAGACATCGCTACATTATGGTTTTGACATTGTTCGCTCACGTACGACGATGTGAAACGGCGTTCTTGACGAATTAAGGGCCGATCATGCACGAAGGAGTGTAGCAGCAAGTGGTCCTGCGGACTGGTAACAATTCTGAGAATTGTACGGACAGGGACGTTCTATGGGATTTAGATATGCGAATAGTATCCCGGGACGTTCGCCGTGAAATGTGCCGAAGGTGGCCGGCATTTATCGAGCTCGATCATCGACTCTCTGCTTGTATATCGACGGAATCGCATCGACGACGAACCATTGTTCTCGTGACTGTTTGCTAATAGAATCTATAGTGCTTATGGTTGTCGTCCGCCGGGAGTCGAATACTGGACATTGAATACAGACATTGAATATTCAACAAACGCATTTCGACCGGGCTATCAACGTGAAGGCGTAATGGACACACACGATGGTTACGAAAATGTTTGTTGTAAATATCGCATTATTTTCTCGTTATAGGCTAATTTTGATAAGTTGCGAATATTTATGACTTGAGCTCTTTTATGTTTATTTTTGTATACCAAGGTAAGTTAACTTTAGTCTCGGTTTTTAGCTCACTTTTTATCCTCTTCTAATTCTAACAATTAGAAAAAGACAAAGAATAAATTAAACCAAGATTAAAGTTAATCTACATTTGTAGAAATAAACATTAGACGGCTTGTAAAAGTTTAGTTTCTGTATTTATCAGAATTAAAAAGAAAAATGTATATGTTTGAAGAATATTTACATTTATGAAAAATTTATGAAGAAACAATTCTCGTTCAAATAATTTATTAGATTTCTATTTATTAGTAACATTTTTTTATTTATGAATTATGTTATGCATCTTTTTGGTATAATTATTTACTATTTTAATTACATTAGTTTACAGCAAAAAATTACTTTGTACCGGACAAAATGTTTCATATAGATTTTGGAAAACGACGAAGCTGCAAGCCAAATTTGACATTTTTTGACATTTTTTTGTAAAAAAAAAAACTTCTAATTCAGAATTTCAAGATAATGCTAAACTTTTTTTTTTTTACAAAAAAATCAAATATTATCCATAAACTATTTTTGCTTGCACAATAAATTTCAGAAATTTGATGTGTTAGTAAAATTTGGCTTGCGGCATCGTTTTTGTCACTCAAAAATTTATGACAAATATTATGTCTGGTTCAAAGTAAGTATAAAAAATGTATATATTTCTTTTTGTAAACTAGTGTTTTATTAATAATTATTTACCATAAATATTAACTGCAAATAGAATATTTAATTTAATAATAAATAATTACTATAATGCGCTAAAAATACTTTTTATTTAACAATTATTGAACAATTTAAAGTTATATTCTTTTATATATTATACGACAATTTTTCTAACATCTGTATTTGTGGATTCTCGCAGAATACAGATCGTTCTCCCAGCATCCACTCTCCTTGTACTATCTTGTACCCAGTGACGCGCTTTTTCAAGGTTTCTGTCAACAAGAGCCCCTATACGCGTTTCTTTATCGCGCTCTTTTTCGGAAACGGGATAGAAGAGCGGTGCGGGGTAGAAGGGTGAGTGGGCGGAAAAGCATCCAATTATCATGCCCGATGCCGGGGCTTCTCACCCTGCACAAGCTCGGTACCAGAATCGACTGGAATCCGGCCGGGAAGCCGGGCCCGGTAGACGTCGAACGAGTGGGATTATTCCGCGTCCGGGTTCGGAGCCGGAGAACCGTGCGGGGGCGGGCCGAGGGAACAATGTCGGAAACGACGGGGACGGTATGCCGAGATATGCAGGATATCGCGCAGAACTGCGATCCTTCGAGGTCTGTGCGAGGAGAGCGAGAGAGCTATGAGGATACAGCAGTGGCGCAAGTATAGTGAGCCAGATATGTACGCCCCGCGGCGCCGCCGTTGTGAGAGAGAGAGAGAGAGA